ACACACACACACGACATATAATATATATATATATATATATATATATTATATATAATAATAATAATAATAATATATATATATACTATATATATATATATATATATATATATATATATATACATGTGTTATGCACATACATGTCAATAGTGTGATATTTTCAGGTTTAATTCTCGCGATTCATTATTCGTGATAGCAATTTCCCGCTTTATAGGATGCTGCATTTGTCGTACATGCATATCTACAATCGCAGTATCTGTATTCACACTCAAAATTGTATGTGGCCATAGCGGATCAATGGGTATCTCGGTAAAATATCTATCACTGATGTATTTACAACTATTTACTTCTGTACAGAGGGCACGTGATAGCTGGTTGGGATAAGGGCGTGCTTGGTATGTGTATAGGGGAGGATCGCAAGCTCAAAGTTCCAGCAGCATTAGGATACGGAGAGCGTGGTTCGCCGTCAAAAATCCCCGGCAATTCTGACTTGGTCTTCGAAATTACTCTATTGGAGATCGAAAGACTGGGTGACAAGCTATCACAGGTGCATTTTTTTAAACACGAGTTTTTTTTAAGCCTTGATGTTCAATCTTAATTGGTACAATGCACCAGCCTCAGAATTCAGCTTTGGAAATGACTTTTTCGACCTATTTGTTCATACGTTCGCGCAGAAATCTGTCCCTCAGGAGGAAGAAATGGTCAGTGAGGAAGAAGAGCCTCTGAGCGAAAGTGAAGAAGGCGCAGACGACGGACAAGTCAAGGACGAGTTGTAATCAACATGCTGTGCTTTGAAATGGGATAGCAGGCAAACTGCGGTTGATAGACAACACACACACGCCGGTTCACAGATGCATGGGCGGCTGATAGTGACTAAAACTCTAGGATGTGCTCGTTATCACAGCAAGGAACGAGGTAGCATGTGCATCGCCGATGCTTGAAACGGATTGAAATCGGCGACGTGTGCCCGAGGCATGAGAGCTCTCAATATCATAGGACAAGTAACTCACCCATTGTATTAGTTTTTAGAGGTATCAGCCGTTGCAGCTGGAGTCAAATACTAGTTAGTAGTCAATTCACAGAGTCGTCGTAAATAGGCCACTTCCCCAATAACCCCTGGCAATGAAATACCGATTGCAAGACTTTCAGCCCTTGCACACATACATTTGGCTGAGCTTCCGTGGTGTGAATAAAATCAATGTATAATTTTTAGGACGTTGCTGTGTTCAAAAATTTGTCAATATCAACTAAGTTTGATTTAGATATACGGTGAGAATACTTCGAAGTGTAAATATAGATGATACCACTACTAGCGCTCCCAAGCTTTGGCAATACTGCGTAAGGACAATATCGCAGGCATGATGATACTGTCGTCATTCAACTTTACACAGTCACGGCATATCTATAGCAATACTTTATTTGAGATTTCAATAAGGTGAAGTGCAGACGTATGTAGACGAGTTCTCTAACGCTAAAAGATACTGCATGTGCATGCCCAAAACCTACCGCTGAACACCTTCCCTATGTTCAGCATATTATAGACGATCGACTACTACTCGTAGAGCACAGAGCTCCATCTCAACAACGAATATTTGCGTATATATTCTCAAAACGTAAAATCACCTCATAAGTCAGATGTGTTCATTCGTCGTCATTTAATGCGAAGAGATGCTTCGATTGTTCATCACAGCTAACCTGAAGGTCTGAATTATACTGTACATTGAAAAAAGCCATTTCAACCCGAGCCGGCCCTTTTCTACATGGTACCATATACTTTAACCGGAAAGGAAAGTTACCGGCGGATAGTAATCCACGCACTATGTGCTTACCAGAATATCGACACGAGAGCCGACTCACCTGCATTAATAATAGAATGTATATTGTAAGCTTAGAAAATTGGCACAAGATGAGCGAACTCGAGGCACTGTTGCTAAGCTGGTGGTGCATGTAAAGTGTCTCATCATGTTTGTACAGAAGATTCTGCTTCTCATCATCGCAAACAAACGTCAAACCTAAAAAACAGTTCAATACACATACCTCGTTTCGATTTTCTTCACGCCGCACGCAACCTTCATCTGTGACAGATAATGGAAAATACACATCAGATTCTACGTATAATATTAAAACATACGATAAAACAATACACTGTCGCTAAGCTGGTGGTGCATGTAAAGTATCTCAACATATTTTTTTCGCAGAAGATTCTGTGTCTCATCATTGCAACTAGAAATCAGCATAGCAAGATTGAAACACACACACATACCTCAAGAAAGCCCCGTAACCAGCTGAGTATGTAGCCATTAAAAAAACTGGCTAACTACGGCGGCCAGAACTCGTCTCCCCAGTAGAACTGTTCTTACATGTTGAAATACGATTTCTTATAGCACACACAATATTTGTGTGTGCACTGGCAAGCAAATTACTATTTAATTCACATCGGATATACGATTTGTGTTCGTATATAACATACTAGAGACAATCGAAAATGAACACCCACGTGAAAATAACAGCTTAAGCATGTACATGCATTATCCCTTTCTATACACAACCCTCCAAACCAAACTTCCCCTTGAGGACTTCTTCCATCTATACACTTAGCATTTCCAGAGCCCCCTTGCACATATATATGAGCAAAACACTTTTAAGATAATAGACACAGCAAAAGAACGATCAAATAATGCCTGTCAGCACTTCAGCTCAACCGAAATTAAAGGAAGACGCAGGTATCTAAAAGCTGCCAGGAATAAACAAACGAGAGAATGGTAGGATGAATACCAAGTCAGATACAACAACTGTGTACAGCTATACAATTTGGAGCCACTAAGCTGGTGGTGCATGTAAAGTATCTCTACATGATTTGATTCTAGAAGATTCTGCATCTCATCATCGTGGTGTACATAAAAACGATCAAAGATTCGATGATGCGACAAAAATACCTGAGTTTTATTTATAGCTCGGCCATATCACGCAGACGACGCACTGATGAGCGGACTGTGGCGGCGGTGGCCGTGCTATGTATGGAAGTAAACATATAATGAATAAGCAAGTGGTATAATGTGTGTACTCTGAAAAGAAATCGATATAGGTTTCATCATTGCGATAGTGATTGCTAAGCTGGTGGTGCATGTAAAGTGTCTCATCATGTTTGTTACAGTAGATTCTGTGTCTCATCATCGCAACCAAGCCGCACGAAAAATATATTCAAAGGGCGGTGTCAATTGATAAAACATGTGTGTATATATTGTGTATATATGCTTTTCCAATACGTATATATAGATATATTACCTGACAACCCAAGCACCACCGGAGATGGTCTTGCGACAAGACTTGCAGTTCCAGATGCCGACGGCTGTGCGCTTGACAGAGTCCTTACCGCAGAACTGGCAAGTGTATTTGCCGTGCTGGGTAATCTCGATCTTCTTCACTTGCTTACGCAGAGAAGAACCATATCGGGTGCCGTACTTACCGACAACTCCAACTTTTTTAGTACGTTTAGCCTGTGAAGTGAGTTGGATGCGTGCGGCAATTTAGGATGTTATGAATTGTGCATATTGTGGTCTGAATGGTTATCTTCACAGTAACATATTGGTACCTGCACGCCAGGCAATATACAAAATCTTATCACACTTCAATATTCAGGCTGAGGGGTCATGGATGCAGATATTAGCCTCTTCGGGCACGTGTTTTGAGCACCGAACACAGTATATCTACTAGTTGATACACTGCAATCGTGGTATATTTTTCTTGTTAGGTATCAGCAATATATAACACTTTCGCTAATCGACTTCCTTTGATGACCATTGTTCGAAGTCTTCGTAGATGGCTGAAAATCTCAGGAGTTATGCTCTGAGATAGTATCTGCTGTTGTACTGATTGACGTGCCTCTCTGACTCGCCCTTTCTTTCTGGTAATTTGCTTACATCACTACATGCCTCGCTACCTGCTTGCTCAAACATTGATAAAACGCGACTTAACATACCATCTTGCTAGTCTGCTTTTAGATGGATGAAAAAGAACTGGCAGTAAGTCAAGGCACGAGTATTTCAATACGATATTGCACTTTGCGTTGTATCAGGACTCGTGGATTAAAGTATACCCCACAAGTGATCACCCCCCCCCATTTTTTCTTTGATGTTTTTCTAGTACCTACTCCATTCCTACTGCATGGACCGTTGGGCTGACGCCTGCCAATTTTTGGCTCGAAATAATATAGAGAAATTGGTACAAAACAATACCATAAAATTTAAACCCTAAAGCTAGCATGAAAATCCTAAATTTAATTTGGATCGAAGTTTAAATATTTATTTTAAATATTTCAGATTTCAGGAGCATAAATATGTGAAATTATATTCATCCGAAAAATCTGAACGGGACAGGTTACCTCTTTATAATAACGGGCTCGCGCCTATAGGTCATGAGCCATTTATTGACAATGCACTCTCTCGAAAAAGCCTCTGTCTGGGACATAATAGGCCCTATTTTCAACAGACTTTGTGCACGTGGTGATTTTCAGGTCGTACTGGACAATAGAGGAGGAGTATTCCAATATTGGTGGAATAGAAATCAGATTCGGAGGACATTTGGCCACCGTCTCTTGATCATCATCGAAATGCTCGAAATAGACGACGGGCCATGTGAATTCACAGTTATATAATATCTCAAGTAACTTACGAGCTGCTCCTTTTCAGCCTGTCAACTTATTGCCAGACAAAATGGTAAGGCTGAAAGAGTTACTGTTAGAGCTACGTTAGCGTATGCTGTCCGTAGCATGCCTCTATGCATTAACATCTATTAAAACAATCAACACTGTGCATACGCTAATAGAATAAGGCCCATATAAGCTCGCATCTGCTGTATACCTACCTCTCAAACTGACTGATCACATCTGTCAGTATTCCACATCAGCACTAGAAAAAAGCTGTACATACACTCTTAAGAGTATGGGACTTCGTAGGTGTCTGTATGTCGTATATTACATTCGCAACTATTAGCACTATACATAAATAGGCAGACAAGGCGGTGAGACCATCGTAACCTCGGTCGTCGAATGTTCAGATGCGAGTTGCTCAAAACAATAAGAGCCTCAACCGTACTCAACTGTTGAATACGAACATGCGCCAAAAGTTCATATAATGTACACACAGTATTGCAATCAGGGTATATTATACATCTCGCGTCGTGTTTGATCACGCGATGTGCCCAATTCCTGATATATATGTATATGTACAGAGCCTCTGCATAGAATCTAAATTTTTGCTTATTCGTTCAGATGGGTTCATTCTGAGCGGAATCTCGTGATTAAGTACGAAACGTCCCGAAATATGACGTGTGCAAACATCTATGTTTAAGTTTGAATTACGTCGAGCGAGCCATGCTTACAGAATTTACTATTTATGGCCATTAACTCGTTTATAAATTATGTACCTCGTATATAGCCGTCGCACAAAACCACCATCATCAAGACGCGCCTCGCGAAGGCCGCCAAGCAGAACCGACCTCTGCCCAACTGGATTCGTATGAAGACTGGCAACACCATCCGGTATGTATCTACTGTTTGAATTGTGCGAGTTTTGAGTTGATACATTCATAAAGATATAGCTTGATTTAACGCGTATTGCTGATACAACGCCAACCTGAAATATATTACTTGTTTAAACGCCATTAATAAATAGTATATACCATTTGCTTTGTTTAGATACAACTCCAAGAGACGTCACTGGAGACGCAGCAAGTTGAACCTATAAATTGGATATAACCTGCGACTTGATGTCAACGGGTTCATTCTTCAACGCTCCATGCCCAGTAATGTCTTTCCAATGCTGATTGGCTGAGGACTGTACGGTACTACGTTTACGTATGTGTTGCAATAAAGTGCTCTTACATCCTTCTTTGCCGACTTTTCCAAATTGTACAGTTGATATATGTTAAAACACTAGGTGCATGTTTATGGATTTCGATGCAAACGTGTCGACGCATTCTAGAGGACGAATCAATGTTTATATCCTGACACCGATCTTTGAAAAATATCTGAAAATCATATATTTAAATACGGCTTCATGACAGGCGTAACGTTACAAAGTCAATTCAATAGTAGTTGAGATTCAAATTATGTGGTCGGTGGTAAATATACAGAGATGCACTCGCAGAACGGTACTATAGCACAGTCGAAACATTCGTACGACCTTGTATTCATCTAGCGTAGCGTATGGCCACATAGATAGATATTGCCTTGTAGAAATCGAATGCATATCCCAATTACCCTGTTTATGTGTTTGCCGAGAGGCTACAGAGTGCGGTTGTGCTCGCACGAGCTTCAGTACGGAAGGAGGTGGAAGGCGAGAATTATTCAACATAGTCGTGCGAACTCGTTTAGGTAGCTCACGCCATAGTCGCGCCAACTCGTTTAGGTAACATGTTCACCATAATGTAAAAATTCATTATAGTGATATATTACGGGTGTCGCAGTTTGTGTATGAATATATATATGCAAGGAATGCATGTACGCGGTTTATGTTTATACTAGGAAGTGTGTGTTTGCAAATATTCTATGTTCATATTGAACGTGCAAGTCACTCAGTGCCACCTAGAACGACGACGGAGTTGAAAGTTTGAACTACTAGTTGGTGTATGCTATAACATATCCAAGCGCGAGCCCGTTTAGCTGACATAGCTACTTAGATTTACACATATCTGAACATGGCGGATATACAGATCGATGTGGAATCTAAATATATGTGTTAGTTACTCACGCAGTCGTATGTATGCACGCGAAATGCGTTTTTGCACTTTCTTGCACCTGATATACGCACAATCCTTGTCTGTATTGTTCGACTTGATTGATGCAAGCGTATGGCTTTGCCTATTCTTAATATATTTATATATATGTATATGTATATGTATATATATATGTATTTATTTACATATTTTATGTATATAATATTTATATATATGTATATTATATATATACATAAAATGTATATATATATATACATAAAATGTATATATATATATATATAAAATCTCTTTGTGACTAGCGCACCCGACTCGTATCAAGCAGAGGAGATATGTATATATATATATATATATATATCTTTGTGACTAGAGCACCCGACTCGTATTTAGCAGAGGAGGCTGCGTGCTTTGAATTTGCTGCTGAGCTGGCTAAAACGTTGGCAGATAACACTGCAGAGGTATCGCATTATCTTCACGAGCAAAAAATTTGCGGCGCCATTATTCCGTTCTAATGGATTGGATAGCGTTTAATTCTAGGTATGCTTGAGTGGATTTAGTTTGGCTCGACAGCTAGTCAGGCATGTTTAACACATACATAATAGTCTGATGGTCTATTATGCAACACTTGTGTGAACCAAACCACAAAATAAAAAGGGTTATTTGCCGTGTTCTAGAGGAGGTCCAGCCATCAGCACATGCACAACCATTTCGGTGCAATTCTACGTCGTGCGAATGAATTTGATATGGCTTAAATTTCGAGATTTGCCTGGGAAGGACGCAGTCTGCCTCGACATCAAGTCGGGCTTACCGATGGTCGTACTAATCTTTTGGGACCGGATTATTGAGGACCTATAGCCGTGCTGCCTGACGGCTTATTTTTGCTTTCGCAGTGCTGTTGAACAGATCTCTCTCGCTATCTCTCGGGATAAGCTTGGTACAGATATTGTTGTACGATGGTTCTCTACCCAACGCAGTTTTGGTACAACAAAGTAAATCAAAATCAAGCGTTTATTGACTTCAACTATCCTTACCCCCCTCTCAATTTGCTATAATCGGACTGCTAGTGCTCTAGTGCCTTGTTGACTAATCGCATGGTTTTAGTTTTATCGGTGCTGTCGTATGGCGAGTTTTCTCGTATAATGTTTGCGAAGGCGGCATTCAGAGCTGCTTCCATCCTACTGTGCGGATCTTTATCTGCGAGAAGAAAATCGAAACAAGAACATCTTAGTATGTAAAACACATCCCAAATATATTCAACTTCGAAGATCAGACACGCCGACAGCACCCCAGAGGTATCTATTTAAATTGCATTGCATACAACCACACCTTCGACAGGCGTACCTTCTATCTTGGTCCAGCAATCGTCCACAAAGGGGGCGAACGAGGTCAAGTCTGCCGGTAACTGAGCCGGGTCGCTGTTGTTCTCCAAAACTCCTTCGAGTTTGGCCAGTTCATCGTGGAGACGCGCCGGCAGCACGGCATACCCAGCCATCTCGAGGATGCCCACGAACTCGTGCTTGATACAGTGGTTGTGGGGGTTGGTCTGCGCGGTCGTGGTTCTGGGTACCATGATCAGTATGAAATTACCGTACTCGTGCAGTGCGGAGAAGCTCATGGTCTGCTGATCCACTTCGAAGCCCTCGGCGGCACAGAACTCTTCACTTCGCCAGATGTCCAGGATGCGCGTGGCCGCCTAAAATATCGGGGAATGGCGATAAATGATATGCATGAGTTCTGTGAAAGGGTTATGCCCAATAAATAGCAGCTAAGACAACGACTTGTCAAACACACGAGGTCAAATAAACAGAAACTCATTTATATAAGCAGAAACGCATTCACAAGTATAGCAATAACCGTGACTCCGTCGGACATAAGTACAACATACCTTGGCAATCGTGCCAGTATCCGTGCCCTCAATGCGTATGGCTACAACTGGATAGTGGAGAACAGATACAGAGGCGGCACCGTACTGCATTGGTTGCGCGTCTGCGGCACTCACTGCAGAGAAGAGAGGTAACCTCATGCCTGATACTTGATAGTGTCTATCGCCACCCGGATGAATGTAATTATAAGAAAACGGTATAAGATGCGGGTATTGGTGAAATTGTCTTACCTGATACTTGATAGTGTCTATCGTCACCCGGATGAATATAATCAAGGGTAAACGGTATAAGATGCGAGTATTAGTGGAGTTGTCTTCTAAGGGTAAACGGTATAAGATGCGAGTATTGGTGGAATTGTCTTGCCTGACACCGGATAGTGTCTATCGTCACCCGGATGAATATAATTAAAAGAAAACGGTATAAGATACGAGCATTGGTGGAATTGTCTTGCCTGACACCTGATAGTGTCTATCGTCACCCGGATGAATATAGTTAAAAGAAAACGGTATAAGATACGAGCATTGGTGGAATTGTTTGGCTTGATACTTGATAGTGTATATCGTTAATTGGATGAATGCAATTAAAAGTAAATGTTATACGATTCGAGTATTGGTGGAATTGTCTTGCCCGATACTAGGTAGTGTCTGTCATCACCCGTATGAATGCAACGAGAGGTGAACAGCAGAAGTTGCGAGGACAGGTGGGCTTTTCTTGTCTGATACGTGGTATGGCCTATCCAGTATTAATCTGTATAAGATATCGGAAATGGTGGAAAATTCGTACCAGACACTTGGTTTATTATATCAGCAATGCGTGGTTTCCGTTGAAACCGGGATGTGCATCACGCCGTATGTCTATCTTGTGATTATACCTGCCAGTATCACATGAATATTACATCGATATTCGGAATAGCACACTCTAACCTAGAAACAAAGAACACCCTTTCATCCCACTCACCTATGTTGCAGAATGGAGGCTCCCGTACCACTCTTGTCAGTGTTTGAGCTGATACACAAGTGCTCGAAATTGGTGGCGAAGTCCAGAAGATCATCGACCGTGTTCCTGTGTTATTTTTCACAGGCTACCGTTAATCACTTGTGGCACAGACATCGCAGGCTTCTCGGATTGTGAGAGGTATTATATTATAGCTCACACCGTCCAATTAGTCAACCGCAGCCGACCACACCCATCCCCTTTGCACGATACAACAACCCAATCGAGCTTGACAACAGCTACTAAACTGACTCAAGCGCCACATACCTCGTAATAATCTGGGCCGTGTGCTCGCGTTCAATCACAACAGCATGACCGTCGCAGTAAGGGTACGGGGGGTACTGAACGAAGAAGCTGCGGCCATTGAGAACAAACTCGTAGGCCCTCAGGCCTGGTTTGCCGGCAGATGCGACATTCTCGAAACAGATGACACACTGAGCACCGGGTGCTAGGGAAGATACGCTGTGCGGGCAGAGACAAAGCAAGGTGGATCAGATATACGCTGATAGTAGGCTATACACCACTAGAGATTATGGTAGTGAGAAGGCAATGCGAAATTCTCGATACAATTGGCCTACTGAACGCCAGACGCCTTAGAGCGCACGCATTGTGGATATGGGATGACGCAGGCTAGATCCGATAAACATAGATATCGTTTTCTACACTATTTTGTGATTACCACCATACGATGGTTGGATGGGTAAAAGAACCGGAACGGATGGCGGAGTGGTGTATTTAGTTGTAACCACTCAGTTATACATAGTTAATGACTACATTCAACTATCAACAGGACACAACGAGTCGGATGATGGAACAGAAATGCTACATCTCGATTGTCTTTTGCACAGCTAGGCAATGATAAACATATGGGACAATTTAAACGTAAACATGCGGGACAATTTAAACCAGTCCACACTCAAAAATATGGTAAATGGCACAGAATAAAAAGAAGGTAAACGCCACAGATACACGGCTATAATATATCACAGACTGCGAAGCACATACCTTTTCTGTCCAGCCACAATCTCTGGCTTTGATCGGTTGATGGTGACTTGCAGTGGGACTCCAAAATCATTTACGGTAGACGGTTTGTATACAATATTGTAAGATAGACGCTCTTCAGAGATGTATTCTGAGCACAAACACCACTCGTAGATATATCGCCAGAGGCAACTGGTGCCGTACTCTTTACGAACAGTATCACACAATACCTTTAAAGAACAATAGAAAAGAAGAAGTGTGTATAAGATTATATGATATGAGAATACGGTACCTTCAGGCAAGAACTAAATAGAAAGGCGTATGAGATCATTTTAAAAGGAATGTCATTGAAAGACAAGACCAAATGGTGTGTATAAGATTATATGATATGAGAATACGGTACCTTCAGGCAAGAACTAAATAGAAAGGCGTATGAGATCATTTGAAAAGGAAAGTCATTGAAAGACAAGACCCAATGGTGAGATTATTCGATTATAGGAATACAGTACCCTTCAGGTATGGATAGAAGAAGTAGATATCATGTGATAAGGAAATACAATCAGCATATGGTCAACGACTCAAGAGCTACAAAACAACTACGTTCACCCTCCATATACAACCAAGATTCAGACACACTCGCCTGAAACTCGACTATAGATTAGGAGGAGTGTACAATGGTACATTTACTCTGGTTTAAACAACAATGAACTACAAGACCCAGCGGCTCTATAGCTACAATTAACAACCCTACTACTTATTTCCAAAATCTTTCAATCATAACGAACAGATGTCGGTACACATTCTCCTGAAACCTATTGGAAGGTACACCCGTTATTAGATCATTTGCTAAAGAAAAAAATGAAAAAAGTTGGCTCAATTGGTCAAAACACAAACACAAAACACAGCAATACATGTACATTCAGTCGCCAGACAAAACAGACAATCCTACACACTCACTTGAAACTCGGCTTGTGTTGCGGCTTTATCGAAGTACTCGGGACCTAAGTGGATGCCACGGTTTTCTAGCGATTGATTCAAAACCAGACCATCGGCCAGCGATCCTCTGTGTGCACGTTTCGACATGCTTCTGCAGTTGGTGTTTCTAACTATTTATGATGGCAAAGTATGGGTTTTTTATGTTGACCTGTGTATAACACCTGTGCGTAGCACACAACCGAGGTCTTAATACATATTCTCTACCTTGATCACCTTCTTTACAGCTTTACACCTTAACCCTTCAGAACTGTTCTGTCGGCGCAATGGGTATTTAGCTAAATTACTATAGTATATGACTTTAGAGGTAACAACTCAAAAAGCATTGAGTATGGATAGTCCGAGTGACAGTCTGACATATGTAGTATCGATTTCCATATATATAATATGGCTCATAATTTTTTTAACATTTAATATGTACCCTAAACCTAAACTTGGTACGGTTATGGAGTTCAAGGGCATACGCTAAACGTTAACGTATAAAATTTAGATATATGCTGTAATCGATATATATATTATAACAAAACGTAAAATGGGCTAGAAAGAACGCGACTTATTTGACAAGACCGTAGGACTGATATATACTCTGCCTCTCAGTCCCAAAAAACTGTACCCTCATTGGGCATACATAATTGATATATAAATAGACGTTTAACGTATACGTAAAATGTATTGTTTCTTCAAATTTTTTAACGTAACACGTAATGAGGTCAGCCTAAGCACCTACCTGCGCAGGCTGCGGTTTCATTTCAAGAAAAAAAAGCGATGATTTTGCGTGGAATATGGCGATAAATAGTACAATAAATATGAACTATCAGATTACTTTATTTTACGGAGAGTATGTATTTGTGTTTTCGTATTATTGGACGAAGTATTACCTGCATTGGTATGCGTAGCCAACCCACACATGTATTTATGTAGTTACGTTCGAGGGTCGTATAGTTATAACTAAGAAGACTGTGTTGTACTGCCGATGTGCTGAACGTGTTCGCCTGGTTTTTAGTTTGATTGAACGACGAGAATGTGTAAACATTGATTGTTCGACGCATATCAAAGCACGCGTAAGTACTTCACACATATGAGCTGCCAGATATATGCAAACGATCAAGAATGTCATACCCAACACCAACTACGGTATCTAAGTGAATCTACCGCTGGTTTACTGAAAATCCCCTCTAAATGCACATATTAATACACCACAATGCCTACCTCCTTCTCAACCAAAGCGGCATTTCTGTGCATATTTAATACGCTACTGAGTATACTTCTACTCGCCATCTCTTGTGTGTTTGCGCAAGTACAATACGATCCCTCTCACTGTGCACTGTCCAGTGATTTTGCAGCATGTATAGTACCGCCACCCGACACCGATGGGGATGTCGCCTGCTTACAGTCACTCACTGATGCGATAACCGAGTACCAGCTCAGAAGCAACGATGCGCCCGGAACTGCCCTCTACTTACAACGCAATCTGACCATCACACGACAGGTGTATTTGTTTGAATGCAAATGGTTCTCAGTGGTAGATCACGTACGTTTCACTATGTCAGACTGAGTATTATATTCCTCTTTGTGGGGTTGGGTATGTATACACCTTTAGTTGGAGTATATACCCCTACGTCAGCTTGAGTGTGTTTGTAGTGGTGTCGTGTGGTTTGTTGCTGACAGTCATTACTGATACTATAAGTGAGTATCAAACGAGATGCAGACATAAGGTTGGAACTGCCCTCCTATTCACAACGTGACTGGATCGTCACGCGTCAGATGTGCTATCCTTTCGTGTAATATTCTAAAATGTGTGCTATTCTGTACCGTGCAGTGGAGTATGTTAGGTATGTAATGCTTTCCTACGTTTTCTGATACGTTGCTGTTATTTTGGTCATCTCTTGTATGTATATCTGGGACCTTGCCACAGCAACTGCGCACTACTAGCAATGTAACATGACTGTCATGTCAGGTGTTATGTGGAATGAAGTTTGTTAGTACCCAGTGGTGTCATTTAAGCTGTGACACGTCGAAGCTTAGATAGTCAGGTTTTCGTATGTTCATCTGGAACCGTTAGCGTGGGAACTGCGCGCTACTAACATCGCAGTTTGACGGTCACGCGTCAGGTGCGAGATGTGGTGTGGTGGCCGTATGCTCAATAGAGGCCGTATGTTCAAAAGAGTGTATTTGTTTTAGGGCGTCGTAGTGTCGTATATTTGTGGTGGTGTCAGGTTTGTTGTGACACGTCAAGACTTAGCTGGCCTGTCTTTTGTATATATGTGTTGAAGTGGGACCCTTGACGTGCGAACTGCGCTCTGCCTATAGTGTGGTTGGACTGTCACCCGTCAGGTGTCAGGTGTGTGGTAGTCGTATGTGACATGGCGTATACCTGAAGTAGCTATATGAGGTTTGTGTCACGTCAAGGTCATTCTTGGATATCTTATATGTCTAGGTACGACCGTTGGCGTGGGTATGGCGCTCTACTTACAACGCAATCAATCTGACCGTCATGCGCCAGGTGTGGGTAGTAACCTTGTGGGAAACCAAGGATGCCTGTAGTGGTGTCGTGTGGTTTCTGACACGTTAGAGTATATCTGGACAATCATCTGCGATATACACTGTGTATCTGGGTCCCTTGGCGTGAGCCGAGGTTCTACACACAATGCTATGTGGTGTTACGTACACGCAGATTGGCAAACTTGCGGATTAAACGACGGGTAACTGTAAGGTGGTGCCTTGTGCGTGGTGACCCACTACGTACCTTTAGTCCTTTGTTTGTACTGTCTGTGTCTATCTATGTGTCTCTTAGGGCGCTTGGTAAGTCGCAAGGGTATTTAACAAGACTCTGTGACGGTTCACATCACTCGACCGCCACATCTCGGGTGCAGAATTGTTATATGCAATCGAGTGTGTCTGGTGGTCCATTTATATGTCTTCAGTCCTAAGTTTGTACTGTCTGTGTCTATCTATGTTTCTAATAGGGCGCCTGTTGGGCCGCAAGGGTATTAAACAACGCTCTGTGGCGGTTCACATTATTTTACCGCCACATGTCGGGTGCAGGCTAGTTGTATGCAGTTGAATGTGTGTGGTGTGGTGTTTTGTGCTTTGCAAATGGCGCGTATGCATGTATTCTATTTTTTCTTTGCGTTATTTGAGTGGAAGTTGGGGGGCTGGGCGTGCGACGAAATTCCATAGAAATGCTATGCGATGGTGTCTGTGTAGTTTGTTTGTTCAAATGTTTATACGAATCAACCTGCGCATATAATGTTGCACCTGATCATCTGCTGTCTAACTAGAATGTGGCATGCTTACTTAGCAAGTGCATATCGACATACCCTGCTGGCTTCAACCGACCGGCAGGTATACGAGTGAACACCTACTATGCAGGTATACAAGTGAACACCTACTATGCAGGTAAACGAGTGAACACCTACTATGCAGGTATACGAGTGAACACCTACTATGCAGGTATACGAGTGAACACCTACTATTACCTATCTAATACCAATCCGTTCTCCTGTAGGTCAATTTCGAGACCACCACCTTAGAGGTCATTGTGTTTGGTTGTGGTCACGTAGTCACATGTGAGGGTAAAGTGGGGTCGGATGGACGCCCGCGGCAGACGGGAATCAACATCTATGGTGGCATTTCCAACACTATGGGGCAGAATTCATTCGCCGGTGAGTGTATAGTCAGCTCGGCAAGTACTTGTGAATGTATATATGTATATGTATATGTATTACTATAAATATATACACATACATACATACAGGCATGCATGCATATAGACATATAGACGTACAGACATACATACATACATCCAGACATACATACATACATACATGCATACATACATACATACATAGACATACATATATATATACATATATATATATATATATATATATATATATATATATATGTGTGTGTGTGTGTGTGTATATATATATATATATATATATGTATGTATAAATGAATATATATATATATATATATATATATATATATATATACATGTATATATGTATATATATATATATATATATGTATATGTGTATGTATATATATAGCATGTTATATTCTGTTTGTGTGAACTGTGTTGTCTTTCTCAATGGTGGATTTGGCCTCATGTTAGTCTTGCGTCACTATCTGTCTAGTAGAATCAAATACAACTGTATATTGTTTGTTCGAATTCACCTTCATCCCTATCGTTGATCGTGACTGCTTGTCTCGTCACATTCCACAATCTTATAGCAGCCGCGCACAGAATATGATATTAAAAACCAGCCTTGTAGTGACAGTATAATCGGTCCTAAGACTTTTACGCTTACTGTTAAATTATCATTAATACCATTGACATATCCTCCCCAAATATAACTAAACAGAGACCGGTGGGGTACAGTTCGCCGACCTCACGCTGACCGGTTGCAACAAAGGGATCTGGGTATTGCTCCCCACTTCAGCATCACTGACTCTTCTCGAGAATGTGCACATCACCAAGTGCTCCCAGTCCACTGGAGGCAATGGCGGGGCTGTGTATACCGTTGGCAAGCTGACTGTGCTCAACAGCACCTTTGATCTCAACGAGGCCAGGGATCAGGGAGGCGCGCTGTATTCCAAAAACCATATGACCGTTGTGAAGTATGTGGGGTTGTCGTAAGTATTGGGATTTGGATTTGGATTTGGATTTGGATTTGGATTGGATTTTTCATCGCCGGTTGTATACTGTATGCTTGTTCTGCTGTGTATCGCATGGTTGGAAATACCCGACTACAAGGTAAGTCGACGCTCTGCTAACGAGGAATATACTTTTGGCTAATACGTTTATGTTTTTGTATTGGTTGTACACCAGTTCTGTATTTCAAGAAAACGCAGCCGGCGGACGAGGAGGGGCATGCTTCTCCGAAGGTGTTATGGAAGTGGACAACTCGACATTCGAACACAATGTCGCACAACTCGGTGGTGCAATATACGGTACGGATTGTTCATCCCACTAGTCCGCAATGCTTGTTAAATACGGCAACTGAACATTTGTTAACTGGCGTAACAATATATCTGGCGCGTAGATCATACGGTACCCATTGACCGACTCTCCAATCAGTCTATCCGATTACATACAGTAACATTCTGTTAATTCGCATATCCATATAGCTTACCATACACAATGGTCATTGGGGAACTCGTTTTTTTATCATAGTCATTTCTGTATGGTATTTTGGTTTGTAAACTTCCGCTTAAAATAGTTTTTTTGTTATCTATGGTAAGCATCCATTTTCATTTTTCTTGCGCAATTTTATAGTTTGTTATATACCGTAGGTGTTTAAGATCTCGAATTATTATAGCCTGTTGCATACGTTGTGCATCTGTCAACTCGGTGTTTATTTGTGGACTAACATGTGACTATATCCATGTATATAGGGTATCTATTTTTCGTCGCGCATATCATGGTAGCTTACCTTACAAACTAATTATCTGTTATCTCGTCAATCATCACCGACTATTATTGTCCAGCCGGGTTTAGTATATTTTGAGTATCTTTCATTGACAAGCACAACCCGCTTGCCACAGATGCCATGTTTTTTTAATTCCCACATTCGTTTTCTGACAGATTGCCATGTTTGTTTGTTGTACAGGTAAAGACGTATCCATGGTGGCCAGATCTCGATTCGAGTTCAACGTCGCTGGTCAAGATCAAGGACTGAATAACGATGTACATTCGGGAAGTGGCGGCGCTATTTTTGGGTATGGCTATTTTTAGATTGGGCTCGCAGTTCCAAATTGCGCGATTGGTTTTTTGTAGGTGATGTGTTTGTTGAACATTTGTTCTCGCGTTTTTCAAACATTATATAAACCGTATCACTGACGCCCATACCGTAATCGGGATATCTGTACAGCTACGGTGATGGTGATATCCAGAATTGCACCTTCATGAACAACACGGCATCTCGATACGGAGGCGCGCTGAGATATCTTGGCAACCTATCGGTGAATGATACCGGCTTCTTCAACAACACCATCTCATTCGTGACTAATGATCTGGATGTTCTGGGCGGCGCCATACGCGTGTTCTGGTCGCTTATAGTTATAGGAAGTACGTTTATTGATAATAGCGTTCGGGATGACGGCGGGGCCGTTTTCTGCGAAAATAGGGTAATTATATGTTCCATATACAGACAACTTGCCCGCTTGAGAAGTACAAGCTATAACATAATTTCTATTTACGTCTATATGGTAGCAGAAGCGGGCGAGGTCTCCTTTGATATAACGCTTTATGCATGTATGTATGTATGTATATATGTATGTATGTATGTATGTATGTATGTATGTATGTATGTATGTATGTATGTATGTATGTATATATATATATATATATATGTATGTATGTATGTATGTATGTATATATGTATATACATATATATATATATATATTTATATGCGTGTGTGTGGGTGTGGGTGGGTGTATGTGCGAGTGTGTGTGGGTGTGGGTGGGTGTATGTGCGAGTGTGTGTGGGTGTGGGTGGGTGTATGTGCGAGTGTGGGTGTTTGTGTTTTTTGTTGGTGTGGTAGTGCTTTGTGTGTGCTTTGTGTGTGTTTATGTATATACATATATATATACCTGGTATATTAATATATATATCATCTGGTTAGGTCTCTGTTATCACTCAGTATTATAGTGTCTGCGCTGTTTGTGATCGTGCTTGTTGTATATGTATTTACCCACACATGTTTTCATGACAGGTTTATGCCCAGGACTGTCAGTTCCTGAATAACGTTGCCGGCCAATCCGGGGGAGCGATAAGGGCTCGTTTTGTGGAAACAGTAGGAGGCACATTCGACAACAATACAGCCAGAGATGGGGGAGCCATGTACAGTACTAAGGTCGTGGAACTGCAGGCAACGTCATTCAGGTATATCGGCACTATTGTGAGTCTTTCGGTCCATTCTAAATTTCCAATTCGGGCTTATTGCCGAGTTTTCATGTTTTATTTATTTTGAAGGTGTTTATCGTATTATTTTGGCTTTCATTCAATTTCTTAAGCTTATGGCCCGATTCTAGTATCCTTGTTGCTGCATGCCTCAATATAGCGAGCGTACCGATAGTTGTGTATATGACACGATTCTTGACACTTTGCCCAATGCTGTTCGCAGTCACATACGGTTCTAAACATATACCATTTCTATTGGTACATTCAGTCACAATGTCGCGACCACGGCCGGCGGAGCAGTCTTCTTAGGGGATGGTGGGCATTTGGAGGCTTGTACGTTCAAGGCCAATATAGCGTCCATCGGTGCTGCAGTGAACTCTATTGGTAGGTGCTATATTTGTTTGTCTACTGATATTTTCAACCTGTTGGGGCTGCGTGTGCTTGCTGCTGTGGTTCAGGGCTGTCATCGCGCGTGCCATGCGGCCATCGGCATTGGATTTGGTTTTATACTGTGAGTGTCAATACTGTAGTTATAACCAGACGGTGACGGCGGCGGCTACAATCGGGGAAATAAAGACATGGTTACAACCAAATCAACGGGCAACCGTCCTGTCGTATTACTTCTAGCTGTAGTTGCCATTTCCGGCGCATAATGGCCCCCTGAGTGTGTTGTAACCTGGTCCCTACTACCCGCTGTAGCTGCCTTGACCGGCCCATCTCATATGCGGACGATAGTCAGTTCGAACGGCATCTTATTTATGTCTGTAGCTAAGGTGGTAATGGTAATGGTAGTGGTAGTGGTAGAAATAGTTTGGTTGTAGGGGACAGTAAAACTAAAAGAAATATTTTCTTCCTTTAAAACCAATATAGGGGAATGACAGCATGTGTAAGGCACCGGACCCCTAATCAGAACATTTCATGACTAGTAACATCCCATTAAACTGTTTTATGTCGATGCCGATGTTCCTCCACTCTCGTGGATATATGTTTTAGGTCTCAAATTGACTGTCCGTAATAGCGTGATGAAGCAGAACTCAGCGCCCCAGCAAGGATTTGTCACGGCAATTATGAACCACGGCCAGGTGTGTGTGTGTCGGACTTTGCAGATGTTTTAACCTTGCTTAACGTCGCTCGTACTAAAATAACAAATGTATCCAGCACGGGTGAATTTACCACTCCAATATCACTACCAAGAGTATTTTTAGCGAAGTAAACTATTTCGGGGCCAACCCTAATTTCGACATATGGGGAGGTTTTAAGTTACATGTCTGCTCAAAGGTGTTGTATCTCTCGGTGCGCTCTATTACATGCCTGCGTCTGCACCACGGGCTGACTGCTGTGTATCTTGATTTTGCTAATAGGGCACATTGGAGTTGACGAATACATCAATATTAGATAACACAGCCTTCGATATAGGGGTGAGTTTTTGCGAGCCGTATCTCGGTTCCATCTCAATTGAAATTACAATACGTTTCCAAAATTTTAATTTGCCAGCTGGAATGGCAGCTATTTCATTCTATGAATGTGTGATAGTCAATGCCATGCTCGGATTGTTTCTCATCAATGTACTTCTCGCCATTGTAGTGTTATTCACCTATGTTCTTGACTCTATTGTCGTACATCTCACCAACGTACTTGACTTCATTGTCGTATTTTTTCACCAATGCACTTAGCTCTATTGTCGTATATCTCACCAATGTGCTTGAGTCCAAGGTCGTATTCCTCACCAATGTACTTGTCTCCATTGTCGTATTTTTCGCCAAAGAACTTGACTCTCTTTTCGTATATCTCACCAATGTACTTAACTGTATTGTTGTATTTCTCACCGATGTACTTGTTTTCATTGTCGTATTTCTCACCAAAGCACTTGACAATATTGTCGTATTGCTCACCAATGTACTTAACTGCTTTGTTTTTTTTTCACCGATGTACTTGTTTTCATTGTCGTATTCCTCGCCAAAGCACTTGACAATATTGTCGTATTGCTCACCAATGTACTCAACTACTTTGTTGTATCTTTCACCGATGTACTTGTTTTCATTGTCGTATTTCTCACCAAATCACTTGACAATAATGTCGTATTGCTCACCAATGTACTTAACTACATTGTTGTATTTCTCACCGATGTACTTGTTTTCATTGTCGTATTTCTCACCAAAGTACTTGACTATATTGTCGTATTTCTCACCAGTGCATTGACACTATTGTCGTATCTAGCTTGTCAATTCGATTGATCTGCTCATGGTCGACTGCCTCGTGAGTGGAAATGTAGTCACTGGTAATGGGCCGCATATCAGCGCATCCCACTATGTCAGGTAGGTGCAAGTGTGTTCCGTACAGCAAAAAGTTGCACATCATGTTATGCACTTGCATATCAATCAGAGAAGTTTGCATTTAAAATGAAAAATCGAGCACCGATTCGGAGAATTGTGTATCGTATTTAAAAAACGTGCGCCTAACTCAGGAAGTGTATACCAAATTAAGGGAACGTGTACGTTAAGTGAATAAAAGTGTATTTAATCAGGGAGTGTTTACCTAAAATCAAGATGTGTGTACCGTATTGCAGTTTGTGTGAATCTGAAAGGTAGAATTGTGTGTTTAAAATCGAGAAGTGTATGTCTTGCATCAAGAAGTATATGCGCTGGTGCTCAGGCGTGCGCTATTTTCTGCTTAGAAATACAATTGTTGTTCTGTGGTGACAGATGACGTTGATATCCTGTTATCTTCTATGTTTTTTATGGTCTGAAGAATGGCCTGTAGTTTCAATATATGGAGTTTTCTTGTTTTGTGTACGAGAGCGTCTCTCTCCACAGGCATTATAAATAATATTTTTGTGGATAGATATGTAGATATGTACAGTCTTTTTTTAGTCCTTTTGTCGTTCTGTTGGTTTGTCTTTGATTCAATGGGTATACAATCAGATGTGAATATATACACACATATATATATATATATGAAATATATGTGTGTATATAATATATATGTGTAAGTATGTATATATGTATGTATATATGCATATATATATGGTA